ATTGTCAGATCAAAGTCGAACCGCACTGGTCGTTTCTTTTTCATTGACCCCTTTGTTCGCACCATAGAAGCACGGCTGTCTGGATAGGGAATCACGGAGACACAAGGGTAATTGCCTCCAAAAGCTGCCGATTGAATGAAACAACGCGAGCGGTACTGCCTTTTGCAGGAAGTTTGAAAAGTGGGCTTCGAAGAAGTGACCGAGCCGTTACTTTAGAAATGTCAGAGCTTTCTAAATGCGATATGATCAAAATTGGCGAACACCCATAAAGCAATGCTGCCCGAAATTGAAAATGTGAAATGGGCCTTTCGAGGGGCTGTAGCCATCGATGCACGACTCCACCGTTCAGGCTGACGTACCTTCTTTAAGGTTGAAAGGCATAGTTGTCTATTAAAGGGGCTCGTATCACTGAATTACCTAGCAAAATCGTTCACCTGTGGCTAGGTGGAGGGAGGCACCCTATAACAGAGGTCTGCTTATTCAAAGTGAGGGCTAAAATTCAAAAGTAACATTTTCGTTCTGCTGAAGCAAATTATTGAAAAGGCGCAAGTACTACTCCTTGCTAGCGAAGTATTCCATTTATTCATATAACCGGGCAAAGTTATGTTACAGGTAGTGTATGCGCTATAATTTTCCGTGAATGTGTGGAAGGACCAGGTCAGTTTGAATGGGAGGAGTACTATAACTAAGCAGTTCAAATCATGCTTTTTGCCAGATTAGGCAAGCTTTTATCACCTTTGTTACTTTGCCATTTGCGAATGGCTTGCCAATCATTAATTGCCCGGAAAGGATAAATGGTAGAGCTCTTCAAATGCCTTTGACAACAAGCCTATGATCACTACTAGGTGGTTTGTTCAAGTGAGTACAACTAATGGTGCAAAAAGCTATGTACATTTGGAAGCTACAGGACATAGAGTGCCTAATTTTCATGTTGACTGACGGAGTTTATCGTTTAGGCCCTTTCATCCTTGTCCGAAATGGCACCTGGAACGTATTTTAAAAATGTCATCGACGATAACACCTGTAAACCTGAAAAGGTCACCAAGGTAAGAATTATTGTGAAAGGGAGGGCTATACCAAAGTTAGCGAGAACAAGGCGTTAGTTGAGGATCTTCGAAGTTTCTGAGATGTTTTCAACGATAAGGCTAACTTCAACGTTAATAACCTAAAGGGTGACTTTCTCGAAGGTTGATGCTATGCATGAATTTTATCATTTAAATAGTGTTTCAAAACATTTTAGGTTATCCTGACCAGTGGCAAGCATTGGATTGCACTTGAAAAAGAACGGGATGAACGTGGTCTCAAGGATACGGTAGCAATAGTTCGCCTCGAGAGCCTCTGTCCGTTCCCTGTGCAGGACCTGCGCGCAGTACTTGAACGCTATCCCAAAGCAAAGAGTGAGTTTTTGTCGGTGTATTCATTTGCTCAAAGTCGTCTCAGCTTTCTCTGTACTCATCTCATTTGTTCGTGATGAATTATGTCATGCTCGCTTAGGTGACATTCTAGTATAGGCGAGTAAGTGAGTTCTGTCGACAGTTTTTACGTCGAAGAAAAGAGACTTCACGGTAGTTCTCACTGTTTTTTTTTTGATTTTTCAAATTCGTGTCCCCCCTTATGGTGTAGACCCTTGTTGACCTTTTAGTGACCCAGCTTAGGTGCTCAGATGGTATCAGCAGTAAACACCATTGCCGTGGCTCCGACGGGCCAGCTGTATTTTGCCGCTTAAGATCACTTGAGAATAGCAGTCGAGTGAGGGAGTCGTCTTTCATGATTCGTTCACTTCTGCAATCATCTCTGCGTCCTCGATGGTCTGCGCACCGAATGGAACGTCTCGGTCACAGAAGCGTCAAGAGGTTACTGTCGCCCGAATTTCTTGCAAAGTGCGCAGGTGCTGACGCAGTTTTACGAGGTAATGAAAGGAGCTTAACAGCTACGAAGACGGTGATCATAAAAAACGCGAATAGCGTTGCCGACGATACCAAAGCGGCCCCAAAAAACGGAGAATGGTGGGCGATGCAAGGGAGTAACCTGAGAGAGGTTTTTGAACAGAGCTGCCTACTGGCTAGGACTTACTCTAGATCTCCGAGGAGACTTGATGAGCACCTTTAGAGCCAAAGAGCGTCTTTGGAAAGTAGGTTATCCCTATTTTCAATTTGGGTGGGTGGGTAGGCTGGCTTACGCAGATCCGTGAAGGAAACATCATCTTTTCCGTGAAAACACCATTGACTTATGGTATGACAATTGTTCCAACTTTTAACCTCTTCTGGACGTAGAGGGTTGCATGACGGTTTCTAAGAATAAGAGGTTAGTAACGGCAAACACCTTGTAAATGCTTTACCGCTGTTGCCCAAGGAACATCACCGTTCTAGAAACCTCCTGAGGGTCCAGTTTTACCAGATGCTGTGGGATGCAGCACTTGAATTGGATCCTTGTAAAACTTGGTGGATGAGAGGCAGTGTGGTAGCATGGCGACTTAGCTTGCAGTACTTTTTTCTTCGAACGATGTTGTTATATATTGCTTGTCATCGCATTTTATTCATTTTCAAAAGTTCGAAGTTTTAAATATCGAGATGAAATAGGGTTCCCGGTCTGCGATTCACCCCTGTGTTCCTAAATCGTAACTTTGTGAGGTTTTCACACCTTCTATTTGCAAGTAGATAATTCAAATTAGCCAGAAAGGTCGAATAGAATAAAACGATTGTATCGGCAAACCTTAGTTAGAGATTCGACAGGATTTGTGGCTGGTAACAGTTATGTTTGCTGTTCTATCCGATTTATCCCAGATTGAATGATCAGGCGCTTTGTGTCAATTATGCAAATGAGTTTCCCTTTGGCACCGAAATGCATAGTGATGAGTACAGCTCCGGTATTATATATTTGACCAGGCTGAAAGAGTTTGCTGATACTGCCCCTATATTAAGAATCAGACAGCCCCTATGGATGAAAATGGCCGAATGGATAGAGAATTCCTCTTTTGCAACTGCTACTTCCACTCGAATAGTCGTTCAAATTATTAGTCGAGATTATGGAATGCCCATATGTAGTGGTCCATTGAAAGGATACGGGAAAAGGGGTCCTCCAAGCTACGGATGAGAAAATAAAATATTGCTTGACAAGTTTGGACTACGTGCTTATTAAAATGTACCTTTCGTCTTGGTTACTACTTTGACGGTACTTCTCGATACTGTTGAATCAGGCTATCATTCAGAGCTTATTCAATGTGTTTATTTGAGAAAGGTGTTGTCAGTCGCCGGTGTAGATGCCGTTCAAAGCTGCCGACAACCAACGACCGGCAAGG